CGCCTGGTTTCCGTGGACAGGCTGGTCAGCCAGGTTACCCTGGTCAGCCTGGACAGCCTGGTCAGCCAGGTTACCCTGGTCAGCCTGGACAGCCTGGTCAGCCTGGCCAAACTATGCCTGGTTTTGGAGGACCGCCAGCACCTGCGCCAGGGTACCCATCAGGCCCTTCACCTAATCCGTCCATGCCATCCTATGGAGGAGCCATGCCAGTAGCTCCACCTGTCAATGTAAGAAACAATGAAAATACATTTTTGATCATATAGATCATATTACTCTCTCATCTGCTGATGTGTTTATACATTTACAGCGTCATGTCAAAAACAAAATGAACTACTTGTTAGAATAACACTGTGACATTGTGGAAATGACTGTGTTGGTATTTCAGAGAGGATTCAGGGGAACGATTCAAGACTTTCCTGGAGCTGACCCACTCAAAGATGTTGAGGTTCTGAGGAAGGCCATGAAGGGCTTTGGTGAGTGCTGTAGGCAGGCCTTGCTATTTGTTCATTTTTATCTAATTTGGGGCTGCAACATCTTCCAGATGCACATGATGCAATTGATATTTGCCATTTGGGGAGTTGTGTTCTAACTTTTTATTCTTTTGGGTTGCCTGTTCTTAATTATTTAGTTGATTAATTGGTTGTAGGGGTCAAGTGTTTAGTTTATTTGTCATTTTAAACATCTTTTTCAGGATAATTGGGCATTTCTGATCACTGGGAAATTATAGTAATCTATAGCAGCTGGACAACAGTACTGGAAAAACAGATCTGGCAGATATTTGTCATTTTTAAGTGCAAATGTTTAAAATGATCTCACTATGAGTTGACATCATGGTCTTATCTGTACAGGAACTGATGAGCAAGCCATTATCAACTTACTGGGGAGTCGCTCTGTGAAACAGCGTGTGCCTTTGCTCCGGGCTTACAAAACATCTTATGGAAAGGTAACAGTCCTGTTCATGCTTATTGTTAACTTTATATACATGTTGGTGTGATAACTGATTTTCTGTTTCTTTTTAAAAACTTTTCCTCAACAAACACCATCAACTAAAAATAGAATCATATGTAGCACCGTGTGCATTACCTTGCAGTTCATAATAGTGACAAGCAGACAACAGCTGCTGGTGCTGTCAGTGAAATGTAGAGGGGATTGAATGTCACCAGAGCTCATTATAGCTATGCTACAGAGCTTCTTGCAGTATGTTTTTTTTTTCTCAGCTGCAGTTAATGATGGTTTTGAGTTATTCCAAGCATGTTTCCATTTTCAGGATCTGATTAAGGATCTGCATTCAGAACTGTCTGGAGACTTTAGGAAGCTGGTCATGGCCATGATGAAGAGCCCAACTGAGTTGGATGCCTCTGAGCTCCACTCTGCCATAAAGGTAAATGTTAAGAAAATTGTGCTAAAATGCATTATAAAATATATTTTTTAAATATTACATTAGTTAGAAGTTTGAATGAAGATCCACTAAACAAAAATATATGGCAAGAATTTTGACTGCTGCAAGGCCAGATGATGAGGGTGTCAGAGATCATTGTTCTGTTTTCTTAACAGGGTGCTGGAACTGATGAAGCCTGTCTGATAGAGATCCTGTCTTCTCGCACCAATGCAGAAATCAGAGAGATAACCCGCGTTTACAAACAAGGTGATATGCCTCAGGGTGGTTAATACGCCGCTTTCCTCAACAGTTCTGTCATATGTATCTCACAGTATCACAAAGCTGTGTGGAAAGGGATGTATTACATTAGTGGATAAGCTCAGCCTATCTAGATCTGTGCACCACCATAACATTTTTAAATGTAAATCTTATGGCTGGGGATTTGGAATATGACTAGAGTAGTGATAATAAGAAATCAAAGTCAAGGTTTCATAGCTGCAAATACATCAACGCATTATACAGTTTTAATGATTCTTTAGTTTTATGGTTTAATTAATTGCTCAGTGTTATTTGCCACATTATTTTCTATGCTTATGAAATCATTCACTGTATCCTAGATTTTCTTGCAAGTAAGTCAGGTTGTGCCCACTCAACCCACAGTATATTCCTAATTTTAAATTAAATGTTTGTGGGTTTTTTTATTTTTGTACTTTACCTACAGTATATTCCCGAAAACATGCTAGTGTCTTGGTCTTTGTTTCAGTAAAGGATTTCTTTACCATTACATTTTTATATCATTTCAGAATATAAGAAGTCACTGGAGGATGCCATTATTGGAGATACCTCAGGCCACTTCCGCCGGCTCCTAGTTTCTCTATCCCAGGTACAGATATGATACAGATTATTAACCTGTATAACTGATGTGTCTTAGGAAATACTTTCAATGTTTTTCACTGTACTTTAAAGGGCAGTCGTGATGAACGAGAAAATGTTGACATCACTCTTGCTAAACAAGATGCTCAGGTAAAGTTTGACTTATTGTCATGAATAATTAATGTTTGATGATTTATCTGCAGCATGGTAGTTTTATATTGTTAATTGCTTATTAATTGCAAAAACATGTCGATTTGTGCTTCGTGCTGTTCTCGTTATAGACCCTGTATGCTGCTGGAGAGAACAAGCTGGGAACAGATGAGTCGAAATTCAATGCTATTTTGTGCGCCAGGAGCAAACCCCACCTCAGAGCAGGTATTCCTTATGAAGACATGTTTGCAATCTAAGTATGAAGGTCAGCATTTAAGATGTATCAAAAGCTAAATGAGAATCAAGTCACAAATGTGAGTTCAGTGCTTATTAGGTATATTACTGATTGTGTGTGTGTGTGTGTGTGTGTGTGTGTGTGTGTGTGGATGCATGTAGTGTTTCACGAGTACCAGCAGATGTGTGGCAGGGATATTGAGAAGAGCATCTGCAGGGAGATGTCTGGAGACCTTGAGAGTGGGATGGTGGCAGTGGGTAAGAATACACACGCATACATTTTCTCTGGTTAAGTCTTAGGAGGGCCACATGCATGTATTTAGAGAGGCAGAATTTGCTGCAAATAGTTGGTTGCCCTTTAAGTTGTCTGCAGAACATGTCTCATTTAACCGTTAAACATTTTGAGGTACTGAGCTACGGTTTCTACTAAATGCATAATCTTTTGTTTTTCTTTTATTGCCAACATTTCACAGGGTTATGGTACAGTACCATGTTTTTAGATATCTTTTATTTGAATCTTTCCTTTGGTTTTGCATGCACAGTCTCTATGTTTTAATAGTAAGGTGGTGTGCACTGCAGTGTTGAAGGTGACAGAAGTTTGACATTGTTTTTGACACAATTTCATTTGCCTCTCCTGGACAGTTTCTTTTAGTTTTTTCAAAATATAACTTAATTTGAAGCTGAAATAATCAATATTTGGCTAGTAGAAGGCAGGAAAAGGAAACAACCTGGCAAACACAGCCTTGATTTAGTATCACCTTTATTGTGGCTGACACATAAGCCAACAGTTGCTTGCATATCTAGCAGACACATAGCAACATCATCACCACATGGAGTTCATGCAGTGTGCTCCTGTACCTGATGAACGATGACTCCTTTAACTCTTATTTGGTCTCCACCAAAATATCTGGCTCTTTAGCTGCTAGATGTTAGCTGATAGGTCTCGATGCCAGTTGGTGCTAGGCAGGTAGTATACAGTTGCTTTTGAGCGTGTTTGCTAAACAGCTGCCACCTCCTGATGCCATTGGGCTTCTGCTGTTGATAAAAGTAGACACGCTCAACCACACTGGTAAATATTGGCCTCAAACAGGCTGAAAAATTTAATACAGTTAGATATTATCCTCTGTAGGTTTCTTATTAAGCATGACACTCCTTCAGAATGCTCATAGACATTTTATTAAATTAAAAAATATTGATTAATGCAGCTTTATGTTTGCATGCTGTTGGTGTTATATTCTTTGATGTATACTGTACTTAATGTTTGTTTTAAAAAAAGTCTTCATTGTCATTTTGCAGTGTCAAATATTGCTGATCTCTTTACACTAGAGTAATTTAGTGATTTTTATTTATGTAAAAATGAAAGTGACAGTATTAATGAATTGTGCTTGTGTGGGCAATATATGAGTGTTTTCTGTTTTTCAGTGAAGTGCATTAAGAACACACCTGCCTACTTTGCTGAGAGGCTTAACAAGGCCATGAAGGTGAGACTTGTTTGGAGAGTAGTCATCTATAACTTACTAAATATGTGTAGCACAGTATTGAATTTTTGTGTCACCTTCATTGTGTGCATGTGTTTGCTTTGTGTACACATGTATTCAGGGAGCTGGGACTAAAGACACAACCTTGATTCGAATTATGGTCTCCCGTTCTGAAGTTGACATGCTGGATATCCGTCAGGAGTATGTTAAAAACTATGGGAAGTCACTGTACACAGACATCTCTGTAAGTATCTTCATCACACAGACTACTTTATTTAATAGGAATCAAATGACCCCACAGTTGTGTGGATGATTAAAACACAAGCAGACCTGATATGACATTGTCTGAATTATTTACTGGTGCATTTGTTCCATTGACAGGGAGACACATCAGGAGACTACAAGAAGCTCCTACTGAAGCTTTGTGGGGGCAGTGACTAAAAAGGAGAACATCTACTATATTATAAAAACTTATAACAATATCATATCTGCTTTATTTTTATGCATTATGCACAAACTGCAAGTTAGCATGCCATGCCAATGCTTTCAATGCAATATTTACCTGGTTGTAAAAACCTTATACACATTGCTACTTAGTTTTGTTTTTTTTTAATGTATGCAATATGGACAAAAGGGCTTTATATTTCATCACTTGTGGTGTCTTTGCTGGATATTTTGAGTTGACTATATGTGGCCAAACAATAGATTTGTAAGAGATTATATTTACAATTTAAGATCTATATATTTTTAAGATAGTTTATTTTCATTGTGCCGATATGATATCTAATATCTGGCATGTTTATTAGTTGTCAAATGCTCAAGAATGCTGAATAATGTATAAGACATACAATAATACAACAGCAAAGTACCAAAGTTAATGTTTGCAGTTCTATAATCTCTTCTATATTTTGTCTACACTTTACTATTTTTAGTTATCATAATTGCACTGTATTTGCATCACATGCTTTTATGTGTATCGTATATCTGTCACTATAGCATGTAAATTCTGTCACTTTTCATAAACTGTTGGTCATTTTATCTTTACGAATCTAAAGGAAAATAAACATTGGAAGTATTTGTGAGTCGGTACACGCAGAATACACATTGTTTGAGAAATAATGTCTGTGAAATACCTTCACTGACTCACAAACATGTGAGTCCCTAAGTGTTATACAAATGGTTATCATAAGATGGTATTCTCACCAATTATATTTCCCAACAGTGTCAGGGCTCTTTGATTGTTAATATTGGGCAGTGAAGTGTTTTTCAATCTCCCAACAGCTACACCCAAGATTCAAGATTTTTATTTGCCATTTATGCACAAACAGACAGTCTAGGCATATAGGAAATCTTGTGCAGGGCTCTCCTGAAGTCAAGTAAAGAGTTTAAAGCCAAAAGAACAAACACCTAGTCGCACCCAAGAATACAAAATAGTTGGTAAAATTGTGGATACAGAAATAAGATAGCTGGTAAAATGGGGAGTTTCAAGTATTGCACATAGTGTAATTGTATATGGTCTTCTAAGTAGGGTAATGAGGGGTTATTGCACAAGTTTTTCACATTTTATATTTGCCATCAGTCTTACTGCAGCAGGGAAAATGCTGTTGTAAAACCTTGTTCTGTGTGTGATGATGCTGTCCACTCTGCTGTGCCTGAGGTTGTGGGTGCAGTTTTTTGTGTGTGAGCAGAGTGTGAGCTGGGTGGAATGGGTTTCTGATTATGTTCTCTGCTCTTTTGCGACAGTGCTGGTGTGTATATTGTGTCTATAGCAGGCAGTCCAATCCCAATGATCCCCTCTGCAGTCGTTATGACCCTTTGAAGAACCTTCCTCTCTCCTGTGTGGTGTTACCATACCAGACTGTGATGCCAGTGGTGAGGACTCAAAGTGTGAATTTCAGCAAGCAGTCCTCACAAGAAATATTATATGATGGCAGATCAATTGTCATGGTCAGAATTCATTTAAAATTGTTACAGGCCACTTAACAAACTAGTTGTTTGATTCTCCTACTCTGTGTACAATCAATGCCAAAAGCTCAAAATGCTCCCACACAAGCGACCTTGTTCACTTTCTTGATCCCTCAATAATCCAAATCAACCTCTATAAATCTAAAATACGTTTGTTTCTCTCCTACACAAAACCCCACAGAATCTGGCCATTATGTGGCTTATACAGGTAACAGGAATTACTGAGGATCAGCCCAAATTCTTATTTGTTCATTCAGGTAGTGTAAGAGTCAAGTGAATAAGTTGTTCTATCTGCCCCTAGCAGCAAACTGCCAAACTTTGAAACTTTTATGAACCAATGTGACACCGTTATGTGACTTGGCCACTTTGATGTGCCCCACGAAGTAGTACTACAAAACAACTGGTTCGAAACGTGTCCATATGCCAGTAAACGAGTCCAACCATCACCACTCTGCACCATATTAACTATTGTTGGCTTCACTTAAAATGCTGTGGAGCGCACCTGACCACTGAGGCGTGGGTGTGCGCTTAGCTGGCTACGGTACAGTGCGGGTTAACTGCAATACGATCAATAACTCTGTGAAGTGTGGAGGAGGGAGCCCGGTGGAATTGATGGCATCCATAAAGCTGCCTTAGCTGTATTAAACAAGTCTACGTGTCTGTTAGTGCTGTCAGAGACCTGGGGGACCCTTGGGTAACAGCCATGCTGGAAGAATCATTGTTGATCATGTCATGTTAAAATGAACTAGATGTGGCAAAGACGTTAGGACTTTAGATGGATGTTTAGATTACAAAAAAACTAGAATTTTAATGAGGATTAGATGTGATTAAGCAGTTTTCAGAAAATGTAGACATAATTAGACAAATTTTATAAGGTAATTTTAAAAGTGTTTCATCTTGTCTCTGCCAATATTGTAGTTTTGATATAATATTATCATAAACCTCCATTTGTTACACGTATTCAGCTGAAGTGTAAATCCCTCTTAATTATAGAGCATGAATTGCCTAATTTAATGTTTATTATAACTGATCTAATCATTTGGGAATCTTCGCACAGTTCCTTGAGATCTGAGATATTGTGGAAAATGTATTGCTTTACATTAAAACTGTCTTAGTATGATGACGTAGGATGCCAACAGACATTCTGTTGTCACTTGGGATCACTGATATCCATTTGCAACCTGCAAGTTAATGCAGAATTAATGCACTAAATAAACGTGTGTCAAAAGCGAGAAGATAGTAAAGTAATTGTTTTGCCACCTTTAGCACAGACAGCTTTTCCTTATCTGTTTAGACTGGCAGGGGAAAAGTCCCTAAAAGATTTTTGTTTGAGACTATTTTGGCCACTATTTGCATCTTCAATAAAAGATGAAGCTATTATCTACCATTATCTGGGCTGTCTGATGAACAAATCTGTTTAATAACATTTCAATAAATTATCAGCTAGAAACACCACCCCTGTTGTCTAAATAATAAACTCATTAATTCCCCATAAAACATATCAGGCTGTCTTTTTCTATTCTAATATGTGTTCTCAGAAGTAGGGTACAGACACAACCCCCTAGTCTGTGTCAGCATTAGGGACTTCCTTCCCTTTGATATGAATGAAGTGTAATTCATTTTTCATCTAAAGGGATAGCACATGGTTGAACAAGCTATGGAGCTTGCATGGTAGAGAGACAGAAACAGAGGGGGGAAGAGAGAGGGAGAGAACTGGAGATGTTACAATGAGATTCAGTGTATGCATGAATAAGGTCACGCTTTGAGAGGTATGCCTGCAGATGCCTGCATCTATGCCAGCAATATTTGGCTGCAGACTGCAGGCAGAGTGCATCCATCATCCATCACTGTATTTCACAAGTCCTACTCAAATACACATTTCATTTGTCAACCTCATATATTGTTCATATAGATATGGCTCATTACCTCTTTTCTAGCTTATTCAACTACAGATACAGTACACACTCAAACCAGTTGCAGTGTGTAGATGCAGAAACATGGTGCATAAGCCTGTAGCTATTATACAAGGACTGATTCAAACCCTTATATTTTCATCACTGCATTAAATATTTAATGTAGTCAATGAAGCTAGCCATTGGTTAGGTTTCTTGTGACTTGATGTGCCTATTGTAAGATTAGTACTACTACATTTATTAACCATTTTAGGTGGATGTAATTTTTTTAATATATAAAAAATTTATCGTTGCACTATGGTGAGAGTGAATTGCAACACACTGATGGACTTTATACAAAGGCAACAAAAGAAGGTGGAAGAAATATACAGATCTTATAGGCCACGTAAGTACAGAAGTGCAAATATGTTTACTTATTTTGCAGAAAAAATGTTCTTGTGGCTGTTATAGTCTAATATCATATACTATGACAACCTAGTCATTTCTGCTGCATTAATCTGTAATTAGCATTGTACTGTTATAGACTAGTTCCTCCTGGTGGAGCTATTTTTGATAATAGGGAAATAATATTTTCCTATGAACTGTTGTCAAGTATAACATGGCTTAAAATGGAAATGCTCAAGTAAAGTACAAGCCTATCTCAAATTTGTACTCAAGCCAACAGCAAATGCTCTTACATTCCACCACTACAGACAACATAAGCTTGCATTTTGGTCATATAGATGGTTGCTATACTGTAAGAATGTTGTCATTGCTTAGCCCCCTTTACCAACACATCTATTTTATAATAACTCCCTATTTTTATGTAAATTGTCTCCATTTTCATGTTTTCCTACTGGGATTTTCGACGTACTACGGGTTGGTGTGTACGCCCATCGAAGAAATGAGTGTGTCTTTAAAAACACCGCCCTATTTTACCTAATATGGTCATTGAACGGATCGTTGATTGACAGCGGGCAGCAGCTGCTGAGTTGCTCAGACATGGCGGAGGATACAGTGTAACTAGGGAGCAGCGGCGGAGTTACGCGACTTTTTCCAGCAGCTCAGTCGTCAAAGAGCGCATTAAACGGTACATAAGAAGAAGAAAATGTGTTCGGTTAAAGCGTACTCTGCGGAGAAGCAAAAAACGACCCGAACTGCCACAGACGAATAAGATGGAAAAATGTATGGCTGTTTAGTGCAGTCAACAGCCTTGGGCAACAAATATGGCTTCTTGTGCCTTTTTCAATATGCTATAATAATTGATCTCTTGTGCAACCTAATGCCGTGGTGGCTCCGGCGAACTTCTGCCAGTCGCGATAAGTTAAGTTCGATAATCGCTTGGTACTTTTGATCAGTAAGGGTATTACATCCACTTGGCCGCCTGGGTTAGCTGGGAAGCTACGGAACTACAGCGGGTAGCAATGGAGCCAAAGCACAAAGAGTTGCTAGACCAGTGCCACCAGAACTTACTGGAGTCCATAACAGATGCGGACCGAGTGATTGAGCTGCTGATAGTTTCTGGTACCTTGAGTCAGCTCGATAGGTTCGAACTTGACCAGAATTGTTCGTCCAGCGCGGAGAAAGTAGACCACCTTCTGAAGATGCTGATGAGCAAGGAGAGCGACCATTTCCTCGACCTGTGTGTGGCCCTGGAGAAGGCATACCCTGACCTGTACACTGCTCTGTTCAGTAATAACGGGGGAGGACCTGTGGACCACTCCACCGGTAAGACACTAGACATTAACCACTTATAAATCAGCTTTCAGTTGAAACCAGAAATGAGTAGACAAGCCACTGCATAGCCCTTGCCTTGTGTACAATCTGGGTGGTCTGGTGCAAGAAGACCTTGTGTGGATAGATGCACAGCAGCCAGACTCGGAGCTTGATTTATTAATAGCCACAAAACTGTACAAAATGATAATAAATGTAGGTTGCAAGGGCAGGCAGCAGTGTTCCTTTGTAATAAGAACTCAAAGTGCAGAATTATGCTCTGCTAGATGTACAAAACAATAAGCCTCTCTCCTGGTCACTGCACAGATAACACATCCTACCTGTCTACATGTAGGCTGTGTTATTCATACCAAGCTGGCCATACCAACTCTACATGTCTAACACATGTAGAGTTGGTATGGCCAGGTATGGTGTGATGGTTTTAACCAAATGTAGTCTGAGATACCTATGCATTATTAAGACAAAAACCAAGATCAGTTCTCTGATAT